AAAATAGTCTTTGACTTGAGCTCACACACATACTCATACCCAAAACATTAAGCGAAGGCGGGCAGTAAAGTTATATATTTGTTATCATGCAATGGAACAATCAAGAAAAAGTAGATTTTTAAAAGTAGATATGGCTGGTGAATGGTCAAGTCCCAGGTAGAGTACTGCCCTACATAGTGACGCCCTGATTCAAAACCCCAACACGAGAAGACGAAAAAAAAAAAAAAAAAAAGTGGGGAGGGGGGAGGGGGGGAGGCAGGGGGAGACCATTTTCAGAATCTACAAATTCTAAATTCTTAAAAGATTCAGAACCCCTCCAAAAAAATGCATATATGCAGGCAATAATTCTGCATCTAATTTCAAGGAATTCATATATCTTTCAAAAAGCCCCAGTTCAAGATCTTTTGTCAATAACTGAGAATTTACAATAGATCATGTCTGCAAGTGTGTGGGTGACTAAAAACCTAGAAAGCAAAGTTTTGTTTCTTAAATTTATGATCAAGGAAAGTTCCTTTCACTACATTTAAAAAAGAAAGAAGACTACAACAAATACAAAAGGAAAATAAACAGGCACAATACCTATCACATTGTCTACACTGCAGAATAAGATCTTCTTCTCTATAGTTTCGATAGCACACCGGGCAGGAAGACAAGCTGGCACAAGGAGCACATTGTGTGTAATTGTTTTGCCACTCACATCTCAGACCTGCAGATGTTGCTCCACAGTGTCTGCACCAAACGCACCTGAAATCCAAATCCCCCCAAAAGGCTCAATTTTATTTTCTTATTACAGAAAGCTACATTTGAACACAATTAAGGGGAAATCATTTCACCTATGTGTGAAAACTTTTCAGATTAGTAAAAAGCTATCATAGCAAATATGTATTATGTGATTAAACATATGGCTGAATTTTAAAACTAAAGTGATGTGACAAAGTTCTGAACTTGAAAGGGAACATAAACTCTAGAGTACCATTTGCACTTCCAGCCTCCTTTGGGAACTGTTTGCAGTGGAGGGTCAAGGCAGTAGGTGTGATAGCTTATGTCACAGTCATCACACAGAAGGAGTCTTCCAGGGTCAGTCGCCTTCCCACAGGCTTCACACACAGTGCACTCAAGACACCTCCAACCTTTGCTAAGAACCACTTTAGTGATCTGCAAAAGAAACCACCAATCCATGTGATTTATACGTTAACTCAGATCTCGTTTTGTACAATTGAGAACATTATATGAATTCATACGTACCGAGAAGCAGAGAAGAGGAAAGGAACTAACACTGGTAGCCCAACACTGAATGGGGCATGCTCATGTACTCTTAGGGCCCTAGCTGATCAGCAGAAAAAAAGTGTACATACTTTAATGCCATGTTAGTCCACATGATTACCCTGGTGCTGGAGATTAAACTGGACTCTTTTATGTGTAATTTAAAGAAATTAAGTAAGCTGTCCCATTACTGTTGACACAGGATTTGAAATTGTATCAATAAAATCTCTATGAGATTTCTATGAATTCCATGTAACTGAAACTTGTATACATGACATAGGGGCTTATCTATCAAAATCAATATAAAAATTAAGAGCTTTTTTTTGGTGGTACTAGAGCTCTACCACTTGAGCCATTACACCAGTCCAAGAGGAATTTTTTCTCTTTTAAATCAAGGTAAAAGATGATTTCTCAGGGACATTTTATGATCTTAAAGGAGTCTTCAGCTATTAAGCTGGGACTTCAGAAGTTCATCTTCATGCCTCTATTTATTCTCCTCTGTCTCAGGGTCTGAAAGAGCAGAAAATTTTGGAATCTCTATATTCCCAATAAACTCCTTAAAGAAGCCACACCATATAAAATTATGAGTTGAGAAACAATTTCTTAAAAATCTCAAAAGACAAAAATGCCCATGTCACAATGAAATAGGCAAGCAATTGAGGAACAGAGTAAAAATCCAGATCCTAAGGAATAAGAAAGCACGAAAGGTACTAGACAGGAAAATAAAAAGACTTAAATCCAAAAAACAAGTGTCTATCAGAATAGCATCAAACTTCACAACAGATGTTAGAATAAAGTAACAGTTTCTAAATTCTACAGAAAAAGACTTTCCAAAGCACAATTTTTAACCTAGAGAAAGAAGTGTTTATGAGAGAAGGTATAATACCATTGAAATATGTAAGAATTCAAAATTTAGCTAAAAATCTTGAATTTTTAAAATTTTAGCTAAAAAGTGGCATATACCACATTAGTCCACATAATTACCCTCCTCATGAAGTCACCTAGAGATACATGGAAGAGAATGAAGATGTATTCCAAGAAAAGGAAGACACTGGGTTCAGAAAGTAACAGATCTGGAAAAAGGACTAAGGACAGGAATAAAGCTGGGCCACACTGGGTGCTGCTGTTATAGATCAAAGCAGGGCAGAGCAACAAGACTCAGGAAGAAAAAGGTGTTTGACAAAAACAACAACAAAACCCTGGTATGGTGTTTCTGCAGTAGATAAAAGCAAACAAATAAATAAGACTGGGTAGTCACTTATGATTATATTCTTCTTGCTATTAAAAATTCCTTGAAGACAGCCAGATATAGTAGCTCACACCCATAATCCAAGCTACTCAGAAGGCAGAGAGCAGAGGACTGCAGTTTGAGGCCAGCCCTGAGAAAAAGTTCACAAAACCCATCTCAATCAATCAAGCTGGGTATGGTGGCATGCACCTGTCATCCTACCTGTGCAAGAAGCATAAAGAAGAGGATTATGGTTCAGGCTTACCTAGCATAAATGTGAGACACTGTGTGAAAATAACTAAAGCAAAAATGGTTGGGGCACCTGCCTAGAAACACAAGACCCTAAGTTCAATCCCTACTGCCACAACAATAAATAAAAAATTAACAAAATAAGATAAAATTTTCATGCCACATTGAGACTGAGTCAGGAGGATCATGAAGTCAAGGCCAGAAAACACAACATAGAGAAATCCATGAGAAACAAGTCACTCAGATCTGCAGTAAGCATTTGACTAGTCATGACAAACACTTTACTAACTTACCTATGTAGCAACACAACTATCCTGGGAGGATGCTGGGGAAAGCAGGGAGTATATAAGCGGGCAGGTGAAATTTATGTATTCGAGGAGGAAGTCAGCACTATCTTACACTGATAAAGCAGTACACTAGCTTATTATTAAATAGTTGCAGAATTACCAATAGGAAGACAGACCTGAATAGAATAAAAATGGTTATCTCGGATGTAGAACTAGATGGGTTGGTTGCTCAGCATAAGGCTTATCTTTATTACTTTGATAAGCCTATTAAGTCTTAAATTATAATCCATTATTTACTCAAGTGGAATCAAGAGACTAGGTAGAAAAAAACAGGGTGGCATAGTAACTATACCAAACTTTTTCTGCAAGCGGGAAGGGCTATCTTTTAAGTTTTGCGGACCATGTGGTCTATTCCAACTGTACAACTCTGTGACTCTGGGCCAGTGCCACTGTAGACATATGTAATGAAAGATTACTGGCATACTCAAATAAGAATTCATGTGCAAAACTGGGCAGTGGGCCAGATGTGGCATGTGGACAATAGCATGTCAACCTCTGGCTTAGAAGAACAAAGAAAGGAACAGAGCTCAAGTAGTCAAGACAGAACTTCACACACACACACACACACACACACACTTTTGTTTCTATTCAGTTTTCTCATTTCACAGAAACCTACCCTGTGGTCCTTTGCAGCCAAACTTTCAACTTACTCAGTTTATGTTTACTCTCAGTGCTGCATTATTTCTATGCCCATATCACTGAAATTGCTCCAATCAGCTGAGCTCTTCTGACCCCAAATCTGACATGTTAGTGTGTACCACACTACCAATGCACAGCACTTCAGTACATGTTTGAGAGTCCTCACGCCCTAAGATGATAGACCTCTACCAATAATTTTTCTTGTACTGAACTTGTTTAATCTTATTATACTTCCATCTATGGCACTGTATCTAAAGTTGTAGCAGATTATGTTATATTCTATCATGTATATCTGCTTCAACTATGATCAAGCGGGATCACCAAATTTTGGGGGGTAACTGGGGTTTGAACTCAGAAACAACACCTTGAGCCACTCCACCAGCCCTTTTGGTGAAGTTCCCCGCAACCCCACCAAGATAGGGTCTCGAGATCTATTTGCCCATGCTGGCTTCAAATTGCGATCCTCCTGATTTCTGCCTCCTGAGTAGCAAGGATTAGAAGTGTGAGCCACTGGTGCCCTTTCTCTCTTCATAAGATACCAGAAAACTGGACAAAATGGATGCAATTGCTTTCAGATATTGGATACCCCACAGTACAGTGAGGTCCTTCCTGTGGTACTCTGTCTATAGACATCTTATACAATGCTGCGCAGTGAGGGAGAATCTTGGTAGAAAATGTCACTAAACTTAGGAGTTTGATTTCTCAGGACAGAGTACTGTAGAGGAAGAAGCTTTAAAGAACAAGAACTCCAGAAAGCTACACAGGATTCCCCTGATGTCCTTAGTAAAACACCAAGCTACCCAACTAAAACAAGAACAAGGAGCCAAACCCAAGGAAAGGTTCTTAAGCTGAACAGTGACCAGAGCCAAGAAAATGCTAGTGATCAGGTAATGAGATTCACTGAAGACCCATGTTTACATACTGAAGAAAAGAGTGCTAGAATGGCAGTTACCAAGGGTGGTCTGGACATCAAAATGGTTTTCATAAAATGACTAAGGCCTAATTTGTTATTTACACCTTAACTCATTCACACTTTTATAGTGCTATTTTCAGAGGCTACAAGATACATGTAACAACATTCTACTGACATCATACAAGTTACGTATCTATATTCTGGTATTATAAAATGTTCTAAGTTTTCATTTCTTCTTTCTCTCTCTCTCTCGCTTTAGTGGGATTGAGATATGAACTCCAAGTAGTTGGTCTACCACTTCAGCCATACCTTTAGTCCAAATTGCTCTGGTTACTTTGGAGACGGGATCTCATGAACTATTTGCCCAGACTGGCCTCGAATTGAGATCTTCCCAATCTCAGCCTCCCAAGTAGCTAGGACTACATATGACAGCCACCAGTGCCTGGCCTAAGTTTTAATTTTTAAAAAGGTAAATATTCAGTAGTCACAATCTTCATAAACAAAAACTCACTCTGTAACTTGAGTGTTAAGGATTGGAGACTATCCATCTTATAACGAATCCTCTTTAGACCTGCCCCAAGGAAAAGATGCTTCATAAGATCAAATTCATTCACAAGCTAAGCCTGGGCAATTCTCATCCCTCACATGTTGTGGGTGTTCCAGTGTTTCTGAGAATGTGCCAGTCCCATGTTAGAAAACCACAGATTTCAATTCAAGTTCTGCCAGTCACTAGTTGTTTGACAGTATACTAATTTTCTGATCTTACTTTATATAGTTGTCGGTTAGTTTACTTAAAAAGAAGGAATTAACTAATTGGTGCATGGGTTAAAAGAAATGCTTGGAAGTTCTGAGCAATGACTCAGAACTTAACTTCTCTCCTAAAACTGTTACCAATTTTAGACAAGGAAATCTGGATATTCCATCATTAGTTGAGTTCACAGAACTTACAATTCCATCTCCAAAGGCATCTTACTCAATTCCCTTCAGTTAGAAATATAAGTATTCTAAAGTCAAACTACAGAAAATTTATAATGTAAAGATACAAAAAAGAAACCTTGATTTTTCTGTGTATATAATTCTATGTCTTAAATTGCCTTTAAATAATTTGTATCTTTTTTTTTTCAGTTAACGTACTATAAGCAACTAATATTAAAAGACTATAAATACTTGTGAGGCAGAGATGGCTAGGTTCAAAGCCAACCCAGGAAAAAAAGTTAGCAAGGCCCGATATGAAAAACAAGTCAGGGGGACAGGGAGTGGTAGGGAAGAGTAATAGAGGGGGTTAGAATGATTAAGGCACAATATATTAACCAGTCACTGGTGGCTCACGCCTATAATCCCAGCTACTTAGGAGGCACAGATCAGGAGGATCGTGGTTTGAATCCAGCTGGGGCAAATAGTTCATGAGACCCGACCTAAAAAAACCCATCACAAAAAAGGACTAGTGGAGTGGCTCAAGGTGTAGGCCCTGAGTTCAAACCCATGTACCACAAAAAAATATAAACAAACAAATAAATAAAAGTACAACAGATTTACAGGTTAAATACCAAGGCAAACCTCCACTGAACAAAGAACAGACACTAAAACAATAAAGGACAGAAATATAAAACAGATGTTAAGGAAAGGGTAATAGTGGGAGGGAGACGATAAAGAAGGATAAGTATGGTTGAGGTACTTTCCATATCCATACAGATATGGAACATTAAAACCTGTCAAAGTCATTTTAAGAAGGGGAGTAAGGGAAGAGGGAAGTCAATGGAGGGGATGAACATAATCAGGGTACAATATATATATGTTCACAAATGCCGTATGAAACCCCCTGTGCAACTATCATATACTACTAAAAATGTTTAAAAGAAAGAAAAAAAAAAAAAAGAAAAGAAGCCAGGCATGGTGGTACAAGCCTACAATCCCAGCTATATGGGAGATATAGGAAGGAGGATCACAGTCCAAGTTTGGCCTCGGAAAAAAGAATGTAAGTAAAAAACAGCTAAAAGAAAAAAGGGGTTAGAAGTGTGGCTGAAGCTGTGTAAGAGCTGCCCATAATGGACAAGACCCTGAGTTCAAATCCCAGTCACCACACACACACACACACACACACACACACACACACACACACGCACAGGCACGCGCACACACACACACACACACACAGAGCACATTAAGTGCAACTGTCTTCTGCTTCGGATAAATTAATTACAACTTTTCACTTTGATTCCTAAATTCACAGAAACCTGTATCACTCTAGAAGAGATCCACAGGGGTATGTACATGGAGCTGACATAACGTGGTAGTGTAGAGGGGAGGGGAAAAGGGAAAGAGACCCCTTGCAAGTGTAGGGTGATTTGCGAACGAGAAACTAAGGTTTGCACTTACACCACAGAGTATAGTACCTCCATACCATTCGTTATCTTACTCCGACACATATCCATACATGTAAATAACTCTGAAACCAAGTGCGTGATTACCACTCAAAAGGTTCCCGGCTAAGTGCCCAGCACGAAAGACTTGAGCATTGCAGCTTCTCAGTTGTTATTATTAAGTATGTTGCTTGCTTCTTTTAGCAGTAAGGAGAAAATGTATGTGGGTGAGGGCTGAGGGAGGTGAATGTGGGAGAACAGGAGGACAAATGAATTTTGACTAAGTACTCCAGTCACTCTGAACTTTTGTAGTCAATAGATAAGATGAACCAACTACACCTAATGCCTTAGCAAACAGTAGTAGGATAAATTGTTTTTAAAGTTAAATGAATGCATTTTTATGTTTTAGTTTTTTAACAGAACAATTAGTATTACTTAAGACTACAGATTTCTTAGGAGTTAATTTACGGAGGTAACAGATACTTAAAAGCAACATTTTAAAAGTACTTTAATATTGTCACATATGTATAGTCCTAATGATAATTAATTGTAAAAAACCACATTACTACTCAAACAAATCAAAATACAATATACTTTTGTTGACTCGTTTAACTTAAGTATAATTACCTTAATACTGACACAGTACGGATGGTAACACTGACCACACTGGGAACAAGCAAGTAATCTTCCTTCTGCTCCTTGGCCAAAACTGCCACAAACCACACACATATCCTGAAATTAAGAACATATGAACCTATTTTAAACTGGAGATGAAGCTATCAATATACAAATTTTATTTTTTAAAGTTTCTTAATTAATACAGAACTCTAGCCAAATTAGATATATGCACAAGACAGAGTAAAAAAGGGTAAGGAGGAATCCAAAAGTGGGAGATTAAGTTCAAACCTGATGCAAAGTAAACTTGTCACTACTAGAAAACAACACAACTGTGTTGTGCATAGAGTTTTCTTCTTCGTCCTTATTCAATGAAATATCTGCCGTAGACACCTGCAAAAAAGACAAAATACATCAAACATGAACTTGTATTTCTTACTTGTATTGCACTAACTGAAAAGCTTCAGAAAATTCATATCCAAAATACCACTTATATCAAGGTCTAGATTAACAATTCCATATTACATTACTTTATTATTAGTAGTATATTAATGCCAAGATACTACCATAAAACTGAGCCATGACACTTCTTTGATTCATTGAATTGTCACTTCAAGAAACCTTAGCTGGGTGTGGTGAGACATACCTATAACCGCAGGCTGAGGCAGAGGATCAAGAGTCGGAGACCATGGAATGGGGAGGCGGTTGAGGAGGAGAAACGATGGGGACAATGTAAATAATGTACAATGCAAGCCTAACTGGAATTGTCACTATGAATCCCCCCTGTATAATGTATATATCCTAATGAAAAAATTTATTAAAAGTAGAATTTAAAAAAAAAAAAAAAGTTGGAGGCCAGCTCAGCAAAACCCTGCCTCCAAAGCAAAGAAAAACAAAAAGTGCTGAGGACACAGCTCATTTGGTAGAGCACTTGCCTAGAATGCACAAGTCCCTGAGTTCAGTCTGCAGTACCAACCAGGAAAAAAAACTAAAATAAAATAAACATTGATCCAAATTGAGATGTGCTATTAGCACAAATGTACTAAAGACTTAGTATCACACTTTGTATGTATTGTTGAAATGGCAATGCTTTAGATATATCCATCAAATGACATGAATTAAAATTAATTTTACTTCTCATAACCTTTATGTGACTTACTAGGAAGTTTCAAATTGCATATGTGGTTCCCATTATATTTCTATCAGAAAGAATTGCTTTAGGGTATTATTGTAAATAAAATAATTATATTATTAGCCAAAAGATTATCAACTGTCTAGAACTTAAATGACATTCAGAATTTGAAAAACCAGGATTTTAGTCAAATAGTAAAGTTACTATGTAAAATATTTATCAAATATGTTTTTCAATACACACTTAAAAGAAAGCCCAATATGACAACCAGCAAATATTGAATCCTAAAATATAACAAAGACAGTCAAAAAATCGTCAATGTTTTTGAGTCCATATTAATCTGCAACATGTCTAGTTTTTCCTGTGAGCCTTATTATAACACTGAGAGCAACCACAATCAAAATCTTTAAATGCAAACTTAACAAAACTTTTCAAACAGATCTGAAAGTGCAACAAGAATTTGATTCTGTTTTTAAATTAAAGAGCAAATATATTACATACAGGCTCTCAGGAGAAAGTTGGCATAAAAAAGACTAAGCCAAAGAGAAAAGGAAGAAAAGAAAGGATAAGAAATTACAAAATAGAAACCCTGACCAGAGGTTCAAAAAACAAAAACACAAATGCAAAGTAGAGACATAGTAAAATTTAAAGGAATTAGCCTATTCCTGTGACTCTTAGGACAGATGAAATTGTCATCGTTAATATAGGAAGCAAGCCTCACCCCTGGCAACACAACAGCTCCAATTCCACTTTTTAGTTTAGACCTGCCTCTGCCACCTCGTCCTGACAGTCCTGCACCTCGAGGTCTCCGCTTCCCTGGAAATCCAGACCCACGGCCCTACGTAACAGATAAGGATGAGTCAACATTCTGTAAAACTGCAAAGAAATTTTCAAACTCAAAAATCAATGAGAGAAAACATTTCATTGAATGTTACACAAGTACTTGCTTTGTCTTTTATTCTAATTAGATGACATTCAGAGTGCAGGCTTATTTGTGTCTTTAAATTTGTAATTCCGCAACTAAAAATATAAGTATAAAATGCTTATAACTTTAATGAGACATTGCATCTGTCATTGTTAATGTTCTCATCAGCAGACCTTGGCATTATTTTTTGTTTCCTAATCCGAATTTCTAGATAAATTACACTCAATATAAAGTAAGAAGAAGGAAGAACTCTGTAATAACTACACAGGGATTATGGCAATGGCTAGCATACACTGCGTATTCACTGTATACTGACCTCAGCACTTTTTGCACTCAACCCACAGACACTCATTTTAGAGATGGAACTACTGAGATAAAAAGCTTAACTAACTTGCCCAAAGTCACTGAGTTAGCAAGTCTGGCTCCATCCCTGGTTTTTCAACCATTATTTGGCAATGTTACATTTCATCAAAGTTAATTTCTGCTAGTGTAAAAGGGTATTCTTCCTATCAATAAAATTAAACCAATATCCTCTATAATTCAATAAAATGAACATGTCTAATGTCTAGATCATTCTATCATAGTACTTAGAGGGAAAATTAAAGATTGTAAGAAAACTGACAAAAAGTAAAGGCTTTGCTTTAAATAATCTGAATAATACATATGTGAAATGAGAATAATTTACCTGACTTTTTACCCAACACAAGAAAAAAATCCTGTGGGAAAATATGTTAAACTCCTAATATTTTAAAAGCCATAACTACCATCATTTTGGGATTCTTTTCTCTTTACTTGATTATACTCAGATTTATGCATTACTTCCTGAAAAAACAAAAACATAAACTTGCCCTCTACCCACAGAGATATATATGTATACTTAAAATTACTTATCAGGAAAATTCTTTTTGATCTTTGTTCCCCTAAAACATTGGATAATATATCATATCTTCAACTGATGTCACTTATCAAGGTTTGATATGCTGAAGTAATACCTTATTTAGCAGAATAGTTTCCAAGGCAAAAACTTTTAGTTATATTGTAAGAATAAAACAAGAAACACCAGAACAAATGGGAAGGAGGACTCTGTTTTTTTCCTTTGGTTTTGGCAAACACATACAGCCACCTTTCAGCTCTGAAACTGCCTCTCCTTATCTTCTGATCCTGCTCTCCTTTAGGTCCCTTTAGGTCTCCTTTAGTCCCTGGAGAGGAGCCTCAGCTTTGAATAGACATGGATGAAGCATTGGACAGGTTTTTGTTTTATGAGTATGAAAGGTTTTTTGAAGTTAAAGCAATAATTTAAAATCAATAATAATCTATTTTCTTTAACATCTTATAATGCATTAAAAGTAAGTAAATATTGGTGATATTTATCACACAAATGTCAAATGTGTCACCTTTTATACTCAAAAAACAAATAGTTATACTTCATTATGTAACTATTGGATGGTATCTGGGTGGGCTAAAAGAATTCTTCCAATTATAATAGAAAACACAAAGTATAATCTAGAACTCCTTCGAAATCCTTGACTAATCTAAACAGCCTTATTCTAGAATTATATTAAATACAGAAGATGGGTAAAAATTACCTTCTCTAGTCAATAAAGCATTTTAACTTTCAAGGTAATCAATACTTTTTCAAATTAAATTTCACCATTCTAAATGTATCAGACTAATTAACTTTCTTCAAGGACTAGGAGAATCATCCACAAATGACAGGGAAAACAAGCTCTACAATTTTGAGGTGAACACCAACAATGAGATCTTCTAAAATTATGGTAATTCTCCTCCACCTACACGTAATAGAATGGAGTTTTTCTTTTTCCTTCCTAAGTAACAAAATTTTACATCATGAGTGAGCAAGTCTCTAATTATATTTTGGCCTGTGTAATAAGGTTTTCCCTCTCATAGAAACACTGGTAATGACAACAAAACAACTGACCATGAAAAAAGGTGTGAAAAATTTACACTTGCAGAATTACAATTTAACTTCCCCTCATCCAGATCTTTAAATGCAAGCCTTATTTCTTTACACTAAAATTTTCAGATCAAAAAGTGGCTCTGGAAGCTGAGTCTAGAAAAGAAAGGTTTAATTTTTAACATCCAACAGGACAAAACAAACCAGAAAGAACTGATACATGAATGTAAGTGCAATTTTATTTACCACTTTGATGCTCCAAATGGCACTGCCAGGAAGCTGCCTGGGTTTAAAAATTTCCCGACTTTCTGAAATGTCTGGGGACCAGGAAGGTGGGTTCACTGTATTATGGGTACTCCAAGCCCCCTAGGATATGGCAGGTGAGAAAATAGATGTATAAAACTCAGCAACATAAAAGATCAAAGCCAGCAACTAAAGAATTTTAGAACAGCAAAAACAAATGCAAACGTATGGAAATTTAGGACAAATTGCTTCAATACAGAGCAAGTAAGCTTATCCCTTATAGTGGCTTCATGCTTACGGGTTTACAGCTATGATTTACATGATAACTTCATTCTGGAGGAAGTTTCACTTCACTAAAATAGATGACATCAACACTGACTCACCAATTACAATGATAGCACCAAATACAAGACAATCACACTTTAATAATTAACAGTAGAGGAAACCAGGGATTATTTTCTTCTAATAATGTAACTGTACAGAAAAGGAAAACAAGATGACCTTAAAAGCTTTAACCTTCTGAATAACCAAACCACAACACTAAGAAAATACAATCCAAAACATGAGTGATCAATAAAGAGGGATCACTTTAAAAATGTGGAAGGCTGGCTTATAACATTAAAATGCAAATACCATTTTAATCTTAAGTGTTTAGTTACACTTCCTGGAGTGACCCAATAGTAGGTTTTTGTTTTGACTTTGATTTAGGGGAATAAACATTTCATAGAAATTATATCCAAGGGACTAACTTGACAAGTGAAGAAATGTTAAAGCAAATTGTCCTAAATTTGTAAATTAAAATGCCTCAAGCACCTATTAAGTACACAGGAAACAGTATGTCATTTAAATACTTAGAGTCAAGGCATTTCACTTCCAAATAACTACGTCCAGCAATCTGAAGTAATCTGATGAAGATGCCAAGGAGCATAAAGAAAAATGTTAACTCCACAAAGGTAACACTTTAAAGAAAAACATAAAAACAAATGTCAAACAACAAAGAACCTAGTTTGAATTAGGTAATTCAAGAATACATGTTAATATTTCACCAATTAAATGACCAAAACTTAAGATATACAGTACTTACCAGATTTCTACAGAATCATCAAATTTGTAAGAATCCTATTAATAACATAAAAATACCTCCCACTGAGGGGAGTCAATGAAATAACAGTATGTAGGGGGAAAAAAAAAATCACACCAGAGAGAAACTGGTGTCACTTTTAATTCATAAACTCAAGACACACAGACGTTAAGCCCAGTCCCCCAATGCCTTTCCAGAATACACTGACTCCTGAATCCCTAGAGTTTAACCAGACAAAAGCCCAGATCCTAAACAGTAGTGTGTCCACAATGAAGGCCTTAAAGGACCTCCTGGGAGTTGTCTCCCATATTTACATTTCTAGCCTGTTCTGACATCTCAATTCCTTCTTAGTATTTCCAGCTTGTCACACAAAACCTCTTAAGTTTATTACATCTAAAATCTCTCCCAAAGGCCAAGCACAGTGGCTCACTGCTCTAATCCCAGCTACTCAGGAGGCAGCGATCAGGAGGATCAAGGTTAGAGGCCAATCCCAGAAAAGAGTTATCAAGACACCCTATAAGCAGGGCGAAGTAGCTTGTGCCTGTCATCCCATTCCTATGAGAGTCTATAAGAAGACCTCTGTCTAACTAAAGCAAAAATGTCAGGAAGAGTATCTGAAGTGGTGAACACCTGCCTAGCAAGCATAAGACCCTGAGTTCAAACCCCAGTACCACAGGGGAAAAAATCTCCCTCATAACTGTTTTCATCTAGCCTTTCCTATTCTAAAAAATCCTATCTAGTCACGCTCCTCTGTCCTTTGTTCCTCTCTCTGCCACCTGTTCAATCCAAATTATCAATAAATCAAGAACTTATCTCCAGCCCTGTGCAGCCTACTCCTGTGCATTCACATCCAGCAGTCCAGTCCTGGCTGCTATCATCCCTCAACCCACCTACTGCAACCATACACTGGATTTTCAGCTATTGGACATTCTGCATCTTTCCTGCCAGAGTCCAGAGAAACTTGGGAGAAATGTCAATTCATCCAGCAAGTCACTATCCTATTTTGAACCTTGACTGCTCCTCAAATACAAACCTTTTCTCACTGCCTCTCTCCACTCACAACCCTCGACCTCCCTGCCAGTCCATCTTCTCTTCCCAACTTCCTTGGTATCCTTCAAAAATGCCAGGTTCTTGAGAACCCCTCACTGGGACAATTCTGAGTCCTCTGAAAAATGGCTGGCTGCTTCTGACCGTTCAGGTGAGGCCTTTACTTAGCACTGCAAGTGAGCCGCCATCTCCCTTAGAACATCTGCAACATCCTCTAATTGCATTACCAATTTATATGGGATAGAAGGGAGAGACAAAAAAGTCTAAGTTTAGTTCTCTCGACAGTTCCATGGGCTTTTCTTTGGGGATCTTAGCTAGTACGTATCTTAAATTCCTTTTGGTAGATCTTTTCCAATGTTGTTATCAGTAGACAGTTCCCAAAATATACCATTAAAAAGTCAAACTCCAAGATAAAAATATTGAATTTTTATGAATAATTTTCTGGTGATGACTTATTATTCATTATAATTTAAAAGTTAGCTTTTATGCCAAAATTGTATCGCATATCAAAAAGTATTTGTATTTCATATAACACAGATGAACCAAATGAAGGACAGTATAGATCAAAAATGTTTGGGTGCCATTTCAGGGATAATTAGGAAACTACTCAGCTGCAATGAAGAATTTATATACTAAAATCTGGGATAATTATATCATGAATTTTAATAATATTATATAAACACTGATGATAGATTATGTATAATTTTACAGAAACTTAAGAAAAGCTAAGATTGTATGTAGATATTTTGACAAAGAAATTACTAATATATTCTTTAAACCTTTAAACTGAAATACAGTTGTAATTATCAAAGTTCAGTTATAAATTACCCCTTGGATCCCAGCTTTGATCAAAAAGCACTGACATAAACCACTCAGAAAAGATGTGCTTCACCTGTTGCAGCTTGCTACTCTGTCATTACTTGCCACTGGACTACAGCACGACAGGCCACACCAATTTTGTTTTCTATTATGTTAAGTCCTGTGTTTGGTGGCTCTTGAGCACTATTTTCTTCCTAAGGATCTATTATCTTTTTTGCACACATGTATGATGAAGGAATTCACAGCACTGTGCTATGAAATATGAAATACACTAAACCACCAGTTACAGTCTATAATCTTGTATTTCCTCCCCTATTAAAAAAAAATTCATCTAACCAAAACATCCAAAGCACTGCTACTCTTAAACAATCTTCAAATGGAATTAAGAGCAAAAAAAGTGCAAAATGTATCCAGGAGGCTGAAAATTATTGAGAGCGCTAGGAAGAACCAACTTGCTTTCAAATCCTACAGAAATTTTAAATACTACTATCTGTCTGACAAGGACTGAAATGGATCTAAAGAATGGTTAACCCCCTAAACTGTTTAAAGTTAGAATTAACATTCTTTCTCTTTGAGGCCACTTTCTACGGTTAAGTTTATCAACCAGTACGTCATACAGGTATTACAGGGCTGCAGGGTAGGAAAACTGGAACAAAAATGCCAGGTGAAGGACTTCTATTAAATGTCAAATCCTATTGCTGGGTGTTAAATATAATCAATATCAGAATGATAACCCAAGCGAATGCTTTTGGTTTTAAGAGCAGCCAGAGAAGTTGTAGAGTCTGAGGCAACTTCACACTGTCAAATCCTAAATCAAGGGCTGGGGGCGTGGCTCAAGTTGGTAGAGTCCCTCCTAGCAAGACCAAGGTTGTTATTAAACAAGTCCAATTTAGGGAAAGTGAAAACAATGAAACAGAGCAGAAAGAAAGACAACTAGTTAGGGAAACTAGGAGTTTATCATTTGTCTTTTCAGTAAATACATTCACTCTCTCATGTATACACTGGAGTGACATGGAAACACCTCATTTTAATGACTTACAGAATTCTTTTTACATAAAGAAATGTTATATCCATAACCAAGCCTTCAATAATTTTAGAATATAAAGTGGTTAGTACTAGCAGCAGTTTGGGCAATGGTTTTAGAAACATCAGTATGGGCAAAAAGAAAGTCCGGTACTTCTAAATCTGCCTTCTCTTCTGTCTTCAGATTGGCATTCCAAAGGGCTGGGTACTTTTTCTGCACGTTTAAAACTGTGGCTTCCTCTTGATTTGGAATGGCGATTGATGGACTTTAACCTGTGTGGGGCTTGTCTTAACCATTTAACTCAAATTCAGGTGAAGCCTGCGTCTACCTAACAAGCTCCCACGTGACAACTGAGCAACAAAGGCTGTCTTAACCTCTGGAGCACATGGCCAAGCCTGGAAGCCAGCACTGTGTTTTCCCTGGAACCCTCTCTTGCTTTGTCACAGTTACCCTGAGGCTTCCTCTACTGCAGCACGTCACACATCCTGTACACAATGGGCTGCTTGCTAGCTCTAAAACCTGTGCCACCATTCCGGGGTTTGAATTGGGGGAATCTACTACAGATCACATTTACTGTGCCCAGTGTTTCACATGAGCCAAGGCCTGCAGTTATTTCAACTGGTATGTTTCAGGACAAATTGCTATTAGCCAATCTGTTTGTTCTAGGGCCACCATTCCAGGCTACATATAATACATGATTGTCATACCTTCTCAACTCCATTTTCACAGACTATTACCTGAATTAGTCTACAATTCAGTAAGTAAATAGTGGCATCTGCCACAAGTCAAGTGCTTTAGATAGGTTATCATTAAGTTCTAACAAAAACCATGTGTTGTCTTTTCATGGCTAAGTTAAGGCAGTTTCACAAGTTAACTTGCTAAGTGTCACACAGATGGCTGTGGGAGGCTAAGGCTTCAATCTAAGCAAACGCATTATGAAAATTTTCATGCTGATTTTATTAATCAATCTTTCCAAATATCAACTAATTTTAGCAAAAACTGGTATAAACAATACAAAACACTTCTAAAAAGTCACATTTTTTAAGGGCAGCGTTATATTTAAATTAGAATGTATGTGGAAATCACTGCAGGTATCCACACTGCATTTTATAATCCACATAAAGAAGATAAAGATTATATTTTCTGCCTCCAGACATATCAGAATCAGAAATCCCCTCTACTGGATTATGTATAGGTTGTACATTGATAATGATATATGCTGAAAATACAGAGTGATGTATTGCTACAATAAATAGTTTAGTAGTAACTGGTGTCAAAATGGGTCCTGAGCCTGGTGCAGTGACTCACACCTATAATCCTAGCTACTTGGGAGGATAAGATCAGGAGGTTGATTTCAGTTCAATACCAGCCCCAGCAAAAAGTTAAAGAGACCCCATCTCAACCCAAAGCTGGATGTGTTGACACATGCCTGTCATCCCAGCAATGCCAGAAACCTAAAATAGAAGGACTATCAGTCTGGGCAAAAAGTGAGACCCTTATATCCAAAATAACCAGAGGAAAGGGGCAAGAGGTGTGGCTCGAGCAACACTACCTTGCAAGGGTGAGGCCTGAGTACCATCAAATAATAAATAAACAAATAGCAATATTCTTAGCTTAGCAATCTTAAATTTAACTGGCATTTCTTTCAATTTCCCAAGTTTTCATTATCTCAAAATGTTCTGCCTGGCACCTTGCAATAGTAGTCACTAGTTACGTATCGTTACTGAGCACTTCTAATGTAGCTGGTCCAAACTGAGAAGTGTTTTAAGTATGAATCACAAGCCAGCATATAAAAGGGATGTAAAAGCTTAACAAGGCTGGGTATGTGGCTAAAGTGGGTAGAACACCTGCCTACTAAACTTCAGGCCCTAAATTCAAACTCCAGTACCACCAAAAGGGGTAGGGGGTGGGGGAGGTCAAAAAGTCTATAATCCCAGCACTCAGGGAAGGTGAGGCAGAGCATCTCAAGTTTAAGTCCAGCCTGGGCTACATAGCAAAACTGTTTCAAAACAAAAACAAAACAAAAAACCAAATCAAATATAATAGTAAAATAAAAAAGGCATACAAAGTGTTTCATTCATTTTTGCAGAGTAAAAGCTGAAATATTTTAACTAAATTAAGTTAAATACATATTTTACAATTTGTTTCACCTGTTTATTTTTTCATAATGACTAATATAAAATTTTTAATTGTACACATGTGGCATTCTTAAGATATGTGCATGTCTGCATGTATAATAGGACAGCACTGGCTTACCCTTCTACTAATTTATAACTCAAGATAATATCAACAGTTTGATCACTAGCTATCATATCAAACTTTAAATCTTTCAGATTTCCTTTGTTTCTAATTGAAATGTTCATTTAATTTTGATATCAATGAAAGTTCGTATGTTAGTAAAAAGTTATTAAGATCCAATCACTATGAAATAGGACTTAAGAAATAAAATTTCTCAATCTTTGGATGATATTGAACACATTGGTAAAGATAAAAAACTGTTGATAATCAACAAAATATAGAATGCTAGTTATACTGACAATCAAAAAATACCTAGAAACCAGTTTCTATCACAATCACTGCTGTGAAAATCTACTTCAATTTTTAGCCAATACCTACTGCCAAGAATTTATAAACAAAACACTAAATTAAACCAGAAATGTAACACTGAAGGGCTGGAAGAGTGGCTCAAGTGGTAGAGCACCTGCCTAGCAATGTGAGGCCCTGAGTTCAAGCCCTAGTACCACAGAAAAAGGGGAGATGGGGGGGAGAAGAGGAGAAATAAATAGTGCAAAAAAAAAACAACAGGAAAAGAAAAGAAGTGTAACACAGAAATGCCTGGCATCAAAGAAATTCACGTAACAAAATAATGGAGCCTAATATTTCCAACATATTGACAGGTACTCCCCTATATGTGCCTCAGCAATGGACAAGCCATCTTGTCCTGTTCACTTCATACTCTCCACAACAACAGAACTGTGTTAACAAGTCACTAGCACCAAGTCAGGATTGTTTTGCTATCTAAAACCAAGATTAGAAGATAAAAGCTGAAGGGAGCTAGGGGCATGGCTCAAGAGGAAGAGCACTTACCACAACCACCTGGGCTCAAACCCCAGTACCAGGCAAGAAAACAAACACCACAAACAAAATGTTAAAGGGAGGGAAAACACGGCCTACAAATGATAAAAGTAGCAATGAGATCATGGCATATAAATGAGAAAGTAGAATCATACCAGATTTGGGAACTGAAAAGCAACATAGCAGAAGCAATAACAAATATCAGGATGGGATGAACCAAAAAAAAAACAAACAAAAATGCATATACAATATATTGGAACATAAGTCAACAGGAGAAAAAAAAAATCGTCCTAATGTATCGAATCTGGTTTCTCAGTTGGAACAGAAGTCTGCAAATAAGGAAATATACCAGTAAAATTAAACAGAAAAGTTTACGATACAGGTAGACATGGTAACATGCATCTATAACCCCAGCTATTTGGGAAACTGAGGCAGAAGAATCACTTGAGCCCAGAAGTTTGAGGCCAGCCTAAGCAGGATAGTGAGACACAGTCCCCACAAAAAAACGAACAAAAAAATCAGGTATGTAAATGTCTGAACTAAAAGTAAATTTAAGATTCAAACTTCTATTGCTAAAGTTTTTTCCAAGTCAACTACTTGTGACTATTTTTAACAACAACAAAAAGACTTATGGAGGAAGAGAACTGGTTTGAGAAGAAAAATCTTTTGGCAGAACAGAAGTAAATGTCAAGGGAAATGCTTAGGCAAGAAGCACACATAAAAAGTGTTTAGTTCACACACATCTTTGCTAGAAAGCAGTGGGTAACCCAGTGCGACATTTTGCCTTTGATGTGTCTTACCTCTAGTAATAAATATTATCTGGGATTTATTTTGAGGAAACTAATTTTCACATTAAAATAAAGTTAGATTTTTTTTAAAACAGCTTAACCATTCTAAAATTAGTTGATCAAGAGTAACATATTATTTCTATGAAGTCAAACTATAATTACTGGCAACAATTTAAATCATGAGACTTAAAACTCCATATTATGACTAAATATTTCTCTAATGTTTGATAGCTAACCATTTTAAAAATACTTCAGAAAGTAGCAACTGTGTAGAATAAATATTCATAACCACAAAATCTTCATTTTGATGTGTAGTCACACTTAAAATGAACTAGAACTTATCCCTACAAGGTAGAATCCACACTACTTAAAAACAGTAAGATGCTGAGAGCAGTGGTCAACACCTGTAATCCTAGCATTTGGCAGGCTAAAGCAGGAGGACCTTAAGTTCAAGGCCAGTCTGAGCTACATAGTTGAGACTATCTCAAAAACTAAGGGCTGTGGATACAGCTCAATGGCAGAATAATTACCTAGCATGTGCAAGGCCCTGGGTTCGATTCCCAGCACTTACAAAGAAAAAAACAGCTAAGAGGAGTTCCCTTTTTGAAGAACAGCAATACAGTTCTAAGATTTTTCCATAAAACTCTTGAAAGTAGTCCTAAATGGGAAAAAAAACATCCACAAGAGTTTACAATTTGTGTGTGTGTACATATATATGTGCATGTGGAGACAGGGGAAAGGAGAGAGAGTAAGGGAGAGACAGATGGACAAACACAGCATAAAAAAAATTCCCTTCAAACATCTTGATGCTTATATGTAGTTAAAAAAATACATACTGGATAACATCAATGGATATATTACAGGGAAAGTTACTATATACACAAAACTTTACTATTTTTTTAAAAGCTCTATGATCACTGTGGCACAGAACAAAAATTTTAAGTGCCTTCTATTAGAAACTATAATCAAATAGATCACATTTTTATGTACCACCTAACTTGAAATTCCAAATAAGATCACTTTAGGTTTAGTAAATTACATTCGTCATTAACAGTCAACATGACATCTGTGTTCTACCTGCAGACTCCAAGAGTTGCCCTCCAAACCAAAGCCATATGTACACTTCCTTATTTACATAATTGCTCCAACATCGTTCCTGTCAACATCACGAGTATCACCCTACCTGCTTGGATCGGGGTCTACCAGGAGAAAATTTTCTTTTGGTAATAGCTGGTTTACCCATGCCAATTTTTGGAGTGACTGAGACGTAAGTTGTTGGCATAATGTTTCCAGCAGAAGAGTTGAGGGCTGAAGGGCAGCCATGCAGCATGTCATGTGAAGGCAAGTCTGAAGGAAGTGCTGGAGAGGAAGACATGCTTGCCTTGCTTATGCCTGCTAATGAAGAAAGTGATGAATCTGCTTCAGATGGTAATTTTGTAGATTTGTCTCTCTCACATGGATCGTCTTTCACACAATCCTCAACTGTAGAAGTCCTTTCAAAGTCTATCAACCCAGTAGACAACTCTGAATTTTCTTTCTGTTCCATTTCTTTTTGTGCCCTTTCTACAACCAACTGTTCTTTAGAACCTAAAGAAGTACTTTCCACACTTTGGGACACTAAGGCTTTTGGTGGAACCGTGACAGATTCCATGGTGGATTTTGGAGGACTTAGTTCTTCTTTGGATACCACCAATTTAGTTTCCTCTAACAACTGCAATTTCTCGTGCTGCACAATGATCGGGTGTGTAAGGACTTCAAGGTTTTCCATCACTTCCATTTTGTCTTCATTTTGAGCTTCACAAATAGTCATCATTTTAGAAGAAATTTCCATTTTTTCACTACCAATTTCATGAGAAATCTCATTTTCCAATTCAGGATCCATTTTATTGTGGGATGATTCTACAAATTCAGAATGTTTGTTATGTTAGTGTACACAGGAATTTCAAAATGTCTAAACAATAGGCATAATGTATTTGACTAAACTATGTTGTATCAGAAGGTATTCATTAAGATAGGCAATTATTAAGTTAATAAAAGCCAAAATACACAAAGGCTTTGGATTAGAATCAATTCACACCTTCTAAATATACAGGTTTAATAAGATCCTTAGAATTTATGGTAATTTCTGATTTAAAAAAACATCAAGAGATTTAATTACTAATTCTATTATACATACATGACATTTGATAATTTAAGCACTTATGAAAGGATTAAAGTCATATCTACCACTTGAGGCCCACCCCCAGCACACTTTGCTTTAGTTATTTTTGGAATAGGGTCTCACATTTCTGAATAGGGTCCAGGACCGCCTGGACCATGATCCTTCAATTTACATTTGATGGTTAGTTAGGATGACAGGCACACACCACCACACACAAGTTTTATTGGCTGAGAAAGGGACTCATGAACTTTGTGTCCAGGCTGGTCTGAAATCTCAGTCTTCCTTATTCTCTGCCACCCCAGTAGCTAGGATTATAAACCTGAGCCACTGCACCCAGCCATTGTCAATTCTTTTCAAGAAAAGAAAAGCTTAACTGAAATATTTAGTTACTCTAATTTGCTCCGCAGCAACTGCAAAAAGTCTTTGGGCTAATGTACTTGAAAAATTAATTTAATGGACAATTATCTTATAATTCAACCTAATTACGCAGTATGAATATATTGCTTACCAGAAATAAGAAGATCATCTGTGTCAAGACTTCCTGGTGGATTACTCTTTTGTTGCTCTTCAGTGTGGACTTGAACTGCTACGAATAACATATTATGGAACCTCCAGCAAGGAGCCAAATATTCTCTAACACTGCTCCCTCAGCAATAATTTCAGTAAGAGCTTTATCTTACTATGAAATGCCAGTGTCCAACGTAAACAGAAAACATACTATTTTTTAGCATGTAGCATGCAAAGATGAACTTAGGAATCTGTATATGTACTGTGATAAGATCTACTGTAACTTTCTTACTTCTCTTCCCTTTACATCTTTATGAAACATAACATTTAAAAAGTTGTTAAAGGTAAACTTAACAAATTTCAAAAACTACAAGGCTTGTCATGTATACACTCAAACTATGTAACTTAACATACAACATCTCAAACAACACAAAGACTTTCAAGCAAGCCTATTATTTAATAAGCCATTTCCACACGACATGAAATCTGGCTAATTCCAGATCCCCAAGTTCAGTAGGAGCTATTATCAACAATGCAAAAGCTTAATTGAAATGTCACTGAAATAATCTTCATGAGGACTGCTGAGATGACCTGATAACGATAAATTTTTCATTATCTCAGCATGAAATACCTCACAATCAGTAACAGCTCCAGTTAACAATTACAAGAACGAAAGAAAAAAATTTTTAATGAAAATCACTTGATCCTTAAAGTGCATACTTATGATTAAAACTAGATTACAGATGAACTACAAACATAAAATGCACTTTGTCCTAAGCCTCAGATTATTTTTCTAAAATGCTCCTCTGTAAACAATTCACTAAGTGACTTTGAGCGTTCAAGTTTAGCGGACACTCACAAATTCACTGTCTACAATTTCTTCACGAGTAGGGTACAGCCGTCATCACAAACACTCTTACCATCTGGAACAACTCCAGGTGTGCCATCTTTGTCAACTGCTCGCTCCAGAAATACCACTTTATCTTCAGGTCCTTCAACTTCCATTTCATTGTTGTAATCTTAACAGAAAATAATTCATTCTTTAGCTTGATGATGAGTTTTTCTGTTTTGTTAACTAAGCCAACAATTATAATCTTAGTCAATTGAGAGTAAACTATCACCAGCAATGCACAAGTTTTTCTTAAGATATTTTGTTTTGACTGGAATACATATTTACATTTTTAAAACAAAAATTACAATGCATTGAAAGTTAATTATTTATATGTCAATTAAAAACATACTTTACAGTCTGGGATCTAGGTCAGTGATAAACAAGGCCTTGGATTCAAACCCAGCACCACAAAAAAAAAAGGTTTGTATAAAGATAATTGATGTTTTTTAACTGTATGTATTTATTTACTTACTTATTTACTTGGGGGAGGGGGAGAGGACAGTACTGCGGTGTGAGTTCCAGGCCTCGTGCTTGCTAGGCTGGCACTCTAGCCACTGGGGGCCATGCCCCCAAGCTAAAGGTCTCCCTTTATACGGGAGTGGGTCTGGGGCCATGATCTTATTTTTGCTTTCCCATGTAGCTGAGATGACAGACATGCACCACCATATCCAGCTACTGGTCGAGATGGGATCTTGAAAACTTTTTCCTTTTTTGCCCAGTCTGGCCTCAAACATGATCCTCCAGTCTCCACCCCCTGAGTGACTAGGTTTGTAGGCTTGGGCCACCATACCCAGAAGAATTTTCTTACTTTAAAGGGCTATCTCACTACTGTATATTAATGGCAATAGCATCCTGGAATGAACTGTTAGTAATAAGATGCTCCTACCTAAACCCCTTGTAGATGATAAAATACGACCTTGATAAAGGTTTCCAATCATATTGATAAAAATAAAAAACATTTTGGTGAGCAGGTCTATTTTTTAACCTCTTAAGAATCTTGTTATTAAATCTGTTCAGAGTAAGATAATCAAATTATGAAGAACAAACTAGGTCACATGGCCACAGCTAAGGAACTATTAGCTTAGTGAACAGCTGAAGGAAAGCACACTAGACTTGGAATTCAAGAACAGGACAAGAAGAAGCAAGGTGTTGTTTCAGTTATCAGATTCAGAGACAGCCAAGACAGCAGACATACATAAAGAGTGAGAAACTAAAAGCTGGGCATGTTGGCACACACCTGAAATCAGGAGGCTGAGCAGGAAGATCACAAGTTCGAGGCTAGCCTAGGCTACATAGTATGTCCCTGTGGGGGAAAAAAGTAAGTTTGAGAAAGTGAGAATAGATAGGATTTGGCAAAAAGATTCCCTTATTATGAGTAAAGTAATATGGTGGTGACTGGCTGTTATGTTATGGGGGAAAAAAAAAGTTTACCTGTAGTGAGTTCAGCCATTCTCACTTCCTCGCCTGGCTGTAAGGGATCCATCCCAGCTCCTACGTGTTTACAATACAAGCAGATATACTCTTCTTTAAGCTGAGAGTCCAGTTCATGATCTGTTGGTTTGTCACATTCTAAGTGAACCCATCTGCAGTGATAAGTATATTTAAATAAAAACTTCTAATTTAAAGTCAAAGTGGTATCTAGGGAAAGGGAAGGTTAAAAACTGGATCTGAGAAGGGTTAAAGAGGAGAGAGAAATAGTTTTATGGGCTGGCACCTGAAAAAGGTTTGCAAAAAGACTGGCATTTGTGATGCCATTAGAATGGAGTTGACATATTTTGACTTCCACATTTTTAAACCATCTCCTCTTCTGTGAAAATCATCACTTGTCACTCTGAGTGCTCATTTCTTGTTTGGACTTATCTTTTTGCCCATTCATTTCCTTATGCATTTCAGATGTATAAAAACATAATTTAATTCCATCTATAAGAACGTCCAGTAGGAAAGGGTTTGCTAGAATGATACAGGCTCAGAAGTGTAAAGACCTTCAGTAGAGTAAACGTCAAATAGATCAATAGCTTTCTTCTTACCTCTTACATATGTTGCAATGCAGCATGTCTTCCTGCAATTCTGGATGGTAGCACTTTCCACAGAAAGGACATAAGTTATCCTGCTGTTGGTAGCACGTGTCACATATCAGGCAATTGTGGTGCCATTGAGAACTAGATCGTGTGCCACACTCCACACATATTCTGCAATTCTAAACACCAGGAAAAAATAAAAACAAAAACAGTTTGTTATACATTTGCAATTGGAGTTCTTATGTAAACCCTTTTGAAATCAACAAAACATTTGCAGATTATATATTAAGCTTTAGTTTTCTTATCAATTTAGAGTACATGCTTTTGTAAAAGGAAATGTCTTGAATGATGTCTGCACTCACAAAATCTTCACTAAAACTTCCAGGAAATTTTAAACAGGGACTGGGGATATCCATGAAGACATAAATGTGGAAGAAAGATACCAAAAATATAGCAAGCCAAACTTCAAAAATGAAACATATTCCAGAATAAGGAAGTGACTTTGGTAGAAAAAGGCCACTCAACCCACTATTGAAGAGAAAAAGATGATCCTGTCATAAACATTGCATTTGCTTCTAGACAGAACTAAAAACAAGAACGCTTATGACAAAATTGCATGACCCATTCCAGACAATTTGAAAGTGAAAACAATCACTCTACGTCAAAATTCAAAGATAGTTCCTCATATTTTCAAAATAGAGTGGTCCTGCCCCAACAAAATGCAACTGATTCTGAAGTACAAGACCAGCTAAAAACTAGCCAAAACCTTTTCTGAGCCTGTGATCTAGCCAGCCTTAAAATCCTGGGCACAAGAGCACTAGTAGTTCACTCCTGTGATCCTAGCTACTCAGGAGGCAGAGATCAGGAGGATCAAGTGTTGAAGAAGCCAGCCCCAGGGAAATATTCCTGAGATCCTATCTTAAAAATACCTAACACAAAACAGGGCTAGAAGAGTGGCTCAAGTGGTAAAGTGCCTGCCTAGCAAGCATTAAGGCCCTTAATTCAAACCCTAGTATCACTACCCCCCCCCAAAAAAAAACCAGATCTCAGGCACAAGCAAATAAACCGTCAGGCCCAAATTATTCATCCCAACTTTCCAATCTAAAACACCAATAAGAAGGAACTTTACCCTTGAAACCAATGATACAAATACTCAAAAACAGAAGCTAGCAGTAACTACAGATCTGTTAGTCGTATAGATTTAAAATGGATAAACTTACTGATGTAAAAATCCTAAATAAAATATTATTAAACACACTTCAATACCACATTAAGAAAACAAACTATGTCCAACTGGGATATATAAAAGAAATGTAAGACTGCTTCACTATTTAGATATTAAAGTCTTTGGAAAAAATCAAAATCCCTTCCTAATAAATATTCTTCAGAAAATAAAAATGGATGGATAGTTCCTTAATAAACACACATCAATTGTAAAAGCAAAATCTTATTTAACAGGGGCCCAAGAGGATGTCTTACTAAGACCCAGAACAAAGTATTGGTGTCTACAACCCCTTCTACTATTTATCATGGTTCTAGGGCCAAAGTATATATCAAAACAAGAGGCATAAGATTAAGGAAAAAAATAATAAAATTCTATCTGAAAATGACAAGGTAGCATACTTGAAAAATACCAAAGAATTTATCATAAATTAAATAAAAAGAATTCAACAACGCAGCAGGATATAAACTGTCCACACCTGGCTTGTTCTTTGGGTCTCACTAGTTTTCTGGATTTTTTTTTTTAACTTGCGAGGGGAGGGAAGGACACACAAGTCATGGGGTTTGAACTCAGGGCCTTGTGCTTGCTAGACAGGCTCTCTACCACCAAAGCCATGTCTGCGTCCCTTTTTGCTTTGGTTATTTTTGAGATAGGGTCATGCATTTATTCTTAAGCTCAGCCTGAATTGCCATCCTCCTATTTACACGTCCTGTATAGCTGTGATGACAGGCACATGTCACTATGCCCTGCTTGTACTGATAGAGATGAAGGTCTTCAGAATTTTTTGCCCTGGCTGGCTTCAAACCACAATCCTCCCAATGTCTACCTCCAAAGTAGTACAATTACAGGTATGAGCCACTGAGACAGGCTTCACTAACTTTTTTGTTCATGCTGGCCTCCAACCCTGATCTTAAAAATATATATGTATAAGAACAGAACAGCTTAAAAAAAAAAAAAAGTGAAGGGTTGGTACAGTGGCTCACCCCGGTAGAGCGCCTGAGTTCAAGCCCTAGTACCGCCAAAATATGCTTGTGTGTATATGTATATATATATATATATATATATGTGTTTACAAATATATTTATATATGCATATATAGATATATATATTTATACACACACACATACATACCTGTGAAAGGAAAAACTGACAGGGACCCAATATTACTAGATGTATGAATTCTCTGAATTTTAAACAGTATGGTACTGGTATGTGAATAGTCAAACCAATGGGATGAAAATTTAATTCCCTATTCAAGTGTGGAATCTTGAGTTAAAAGGACAAAGGTAGACTTTTTCTTTCTTTCTTTCTTTTTTTCGGGGGGGGGGGATGGGAAGGAAAGAGGGATGGGACTGGGGATTTGAACTCAGAGCCTTGAGCTTGCTAGGCATGTACTCCATCAATTCAGCCATGCCCCTAGATCTTTTTGCTTTAGTTATTTTTGGGAATAAGATCTCACTTTTTGCCCAACCAGCCCAGACTATGCTCCTGTTTATGTTTTCCCCATCACTGAAATGACAGGTGTTGTGCCTCCATACCAGCTTTTATTGATTGAGATGGGGTTTCCCTAACTTTTTTCCCCATGCTGGCCTCTAACATTGATACTCCCTATCTGCCTCCAGAGCAGCTATAGGCATATAGGATTATAGGCATGAGCCACAGGTGCCTAGAATAAGACAGTCTTTTTTTTTTTTTTAATGACTGGTTTGGGAAAACTGAAGAACCAACAAGAAAAGGATACACTAAACACAAGCACCATTTCCAAATTGATTAGAGATCCAACTATTTAAACAGTGAAAAAAAAATTAATTCCTCATAATTATTCTCATTATTACTCAAAAATACAGAAGTAGCCAGGTGTATGGCTCATGCCTTTAATCCCAGCCACTCTGGAGGCAGAATTCAGGAAGATCACAGCTAGAAACCAACCTGGGCAAAGAGTCAACAAGATCACATCTCAATTAATAAACTGGGCATGGTGGTATGTACCTGTGGTCCCACCTAGGCAGGAGGCCATAAGCAAAAAAAATAAATAAAGAGCAAAAGAAACAAAGAGTGGAGGGGAGGAAAGGAAGAGAAAGGAAAAGAGAAGGAAAGAAAGAGAAGGAGAGAGGGAGGAGAAAAGGGGAGGGGAGGAGAGGGGAAGAGAGATCAAGACCCTATCTAAAAAGTACCCTAAAAGCAAAAAGGGCTCAGGGCATGGCTGAAGTGGCAGAATGCTTGCCAAGGAAACCCAAGGCCCTGGGTTCAAACCCCACAACCCTCCACCCTCCACCAAAAAAAAAAAAAAAAAAAAAAACCCAGAAGTATGTGATTACATAAAAATAAACAAAGTCCAAAGACAAACAGACAAATGAAGAAAAATATTTACATCATGTAACACAGACAGGTGTAGGCTGTATATCCTAATTTATAAAGAACACTTTGGGTAGGAAAGCAACAAAATCTTTAGTGACCTACAAACACAAAGAGAACTCACAAAAAGATGAAAACAAGAAAAAAAAATCAACTTCATTCAAAAGGGAAACGAAAATTAAAACTCCATTGAGAAACCACTTTGCATCCATAGTATGGAAGGCATTCAAATGCTGAACAAAACGCCCCGCTGGCAAAAGAAACCACAAGTCAAAACTAAACATGCATGCACCAAATAGATTTTCCCAAGAACTCAATACACATATGCACAGTTACACAATGCAGGATCATCAGTCATGTAAAATACTGTAAAACACCTAAATATCCAAGCATCGGACACTGGGCAAATAAACTATAGCAGAGACACACAATGGCGTGCTGCGCAAATGTTTAAAAAAATCTCTATGAAGCTGGGCACTGGAGGCTCTCACCTGCAATCCTAGCTACTCAGGAGGCAGAAATCAGGAAGATTACAGTTTGAAGCCAACCTGGGCAAATAGTTTGCCAGATCCTGTCTTGAGAAAAACCTTCACAAAAAAGGGCTGGTAAAGTGGCTCAAGGTGAAGGCCCTGAGTTCAAGCCCCGGTACCACCAAAAAAAAAAAAACCCAAAATCTAAGAACTGATACAATTTCCAGATTAAAAGGAAAAAAAATATCTCAATGAGCTGATATGAAGTAATTCCCAGATTTAATTACATGAAGAAAGAAATATGCAAAAAAGTATACATAGTACATATGCGCCATTTTCAGTGCAAGAAAGGGAAAATAAGAGAAATCAAATGTAGGATAAACCTAGAAATGATGAACTTACTTACAAGAAGTTGGGGGAAATAGGGTAAAAGTGATAGAAAGGAAGGAAGGACAAGTCTCAATATACAACATTTTATACAACTTTGGCTTTTGAAAAGTAAGTTAATGTCCTATGTATTTTAAAAAGAAAAGAAAGGGAAATAAATCGTATCACTCAGAATAAAATGAAATAGATTTGCTTACTGGATTGAGTAAATGAAAGCATTTCTGCTAGTGGACCCAGGATTCTTACTATAGAAGAAAAGACATGCAAGAGAAGGAGAAGACAAAGAACTAGAGAGAGAAAAGATCAGAACTGGAGGTACTGTCATAAATTCATTATTTCTAAATTACATATATGCACAAGTACATGAATACTTATGTACCTAACGGTGTATTGTAGTATATATACACGCGTGTATTTCCTAGTTCACTCTGCTGGAAGAGAAGGAAACAATATCCTTGAGGAGCAATAAGCATACCTAACATTCACCCCCAGGTGGGCTGCTTATTGAAAAGTAGATTGATTCCAGGACTGGAGAAGGAGAGGTTTAAGATGACCTTAGGATATCTTGTTATAGCAAAAAGTGATGATGTGTTCAAACAGTGAGGGCACGATAGAAAGACATAGGAGACAGCTTGATGGACCAACTGATGGCAAATATGAGACAATTTGAGCACAAAAATGAGTAATGTATTCTTAAAATAGGAATTCATGAGTTAATCTCAGTAATAAAAAATGTTAACATGTA